CCACCCCCAGCCCCTCTGTGGGTCTCCGGAATCGTGCGCTAAAGGGTGAGGGCCCCTGGACAATACGCCTAGAAAAAACTCCCTCGGGGTTCCGGCTGGATCCAACCTGCTGAGGACTAAGTTGGGTCGCTGGTTGAACCGATAAACGACGGAGAGAGCAAACCTAGAGCCAACTTTGTCTTGTCTTTTTGTTGGAGGTGAGGAGATCCCGGTTTCCAGCTCTGCCTTGTTCGAATTGGGAGGCGTACGTCACCTGCCTTTTTAGCTGTGGTTCAGTTTTCTAAAAAGCAGTGGTTGGTTGGATAAGGTTCCACTTTTGCCCATTTTTCTTTTTATTTTTACGTAAACTTGGAAAGAGGATGATAGTTTGGAAATTTGCTGAAGGATTGTATTTTAAAGTGATTACAAATTAGAGTGCTTAATTTGAGACGTGACACTTTAATTTTTAAACTACTTTTTTTTTTTTCTTTTGCTACCAGTTGATTTATGTTCCCAACTACAAGCTTTTTTTTTTTTTTTTTTTTTTCGGAAACATATCTGATGAGATTTTGACATAATCCAATGTAAACAACAAGGAAGGGGCAACCATTTCGCTATAAAATCTACTTCCAAGATTATCCGGTTGTAAAATACTTGATTCTCAAGTTGTTGGAAGCTGAGAATAAGTTTCTGCCTTGTTGCATGTGTACGTTTGATTTAATGTGTTCCTGGCACCTAATGGTATTTGAATTGATTTGCTTTTAATTTTATATAGTTGTACTGCTATAATAGATAATGTTGTAAAATTTATAACTATAATGTCGTAAAATATATTTACCTTTTTTCATATCATATTCAATCTAAGTTGCTGTATAATAGTATTTTATGTAATATCAGGATTAGACTAAGAACCAGGAAGGAATTTTCAACACTGCATTTATTGATGTTTAAGACGAAATTACCATGAGCAATTGAATTGTTTCAAACTTCAGAAAAATATTTATGGCAATGTTGTGTTAAACCTAACATTACTTTCTTGCAAATTTTACATTGAACCTGAAACTTATAAATTTTGTCTGTTTGAATAAGGAATTGCTATTTATGTGATTGGAGCCCTGGTGGCACAGTGGTTAAAGTGCATGGCTTTAAACTGAAAGGCCAGCGGTTTGAGTCCACCAGCTGCTCAGAAGGAAAAAGATGTGGCAGTTGTCTTCCATAAAGATTTACAGCCTTGGAAATCCTACTGGGTAGTTCTGTCCTGTAGATAACAAAGGATTTGGTTTTAGTCTTTTATTTATGTGATTCAAACAAAGATCATCTTTGTGCTGCTGCACATCGTGGTATTAAATATTGTCAACATTAAGGTTGACTCTTTGATGCAGGTGTAGATCGATCTTATGGCTATTTTAACACCTCTCCACCCTCCATTCCATTTCTGATCCTCTGAATAGAGGAAGTAGAAAGTAGAGTCGACTTAGGTGGGTGAGGAGTAGAAGTATCTTGGAGTGTAAACTGTTTTCTCTCCCCTTGTTTTCTGCAGGAATTCAGATGTGTTCTAAGCCTACTGGAGTGACCACACTTCCAAGACCTGATGGAGGCCAGAGCTCAGAGTGGCAGCAGGTCACAGCCCTTGCTGCAGGCACCCCGTGACAGTGGCAGGCAGCCCGGGGAGCCCGACCCCAGAGATGCCCTCATGCAGCAGGTGCATGTGTTGTCTCTGGATCAGATCCGAGCCATCCGAAACACCAATGAGTATACGGAGGGACCTACTGTGGTCCCGAGACCTGGGCTCAAGCCTGCTCCTCGTCCTTCGACTCAGCACAAGCACGAGCGACTCCATGGTCTCCCGGAGCACCGCCAGCCTCCTCGTCTTCAGCACACACAGGTCCACTCTTCTGCAAGAGCCTCTCTGACCAGGTCCATCAGCACGGTCAGCTCAGGGTCACGGAGCAGTACGAGGACAAGTACCAGTAGCAATTCCTCTGAACAGAGACTGTTAGGATCATCTTTTTCCTCGGGGCCCGTTGCTGATGGAATAATCCGAGTGCAACCTAAATCTGAGCTCAAGCCAGGTGAGCTTAAGCCACTGAGCAAGGAAGATTTGGGCTTGCACACCTACAGGTGTGAGGACTGTGGCAAGTGCAAGTGTAAGGAATGCACCTACCCGAGGCCTCTGCCATCAGACTGGATCTGTGACAAGCAGTGCCTTTGCTCAGCCCAGAATGTGATAGACTATGGGACTTGTGTATGCTGTGTGAAAGGTCTCTTCTATCACTGTTCTAATGATGACGAGGACAACTGTGCTGACAACCCATGCTCTTGCAGCCAGTCTCACTGTTGTACACGGTGGTCAGCCATGGGCGTCATGTCCCTCTTTTTGCCTTGCTTATGGTGTTACCTTCCAGCCAAGGGTTGCCTTAAATTGTGCCAGGGGTGTTATGACCGTGTTAACAGGCCTGGATGCCGTTGTAAAAACTCAAACACAGTTTGCTGCAAAGTTCCCACTGTCCCACCCAGGAACTTTGAAAAACCAACATAGCATCATTAATCAGGAATATTACAGTAATAAGATTTTGTTTTGTTTTGTTTTGTTTTTTAACACACATATGCAACCAACTAAAACAGTTATAATCTTGGCACTGTTAATAGAGGGTTGGGGTATTCTTTGCTGTTTGCAGTGAAATGCTTTTTATGTGTGTGTGTCCATGTGCCATTTTAACTGATATGCTTGTTAGAAATCAGCTAATGGAGCTCAAAATATAGGATACAGAACTTGGTGATCCACATATTGCATAAGCTAAAGCAACACAGACACTCCTAGGTAAATTTTTTGTGAATAATACTTAGAAAATTTGTAAATTAGCAAAATGACTTTTTTCCATTGTTTTCTCCAGAGATAATGTGCTATATTTTTGTATATACAATAATATTTGCAACTGTGAAAAACAAGTTGTGTCATACTACATGGCACAGTCACAAAATATTATACTAATATGTTGTACATTCGGAAGAATGTGATTCAATCAGTATGGTTTTAGATTGTATTTTGCCTTACAGAAGCCTTTATTGTGACTCTGATTTCCCTTTGGACTTCATGTATATTGTACAGTTACGGTAAAATTCAACCTTTATTTTCTAATTTTTTCAACATATTGTTTAGTGTAAAGAATATTTATTTGAAGTTTTATTATTTTATAAAAAAAAGAATATTTATTTTAAAAGGCATCTTACAAATTTTGCCCCTTTTATGA